TATGTTTTATATAAATTCACTATACTAAATCTTATATATAAATTAATGGAACACTTTCCGAGTCTAAGCAGTTATTTCCATGAGATTTGAGATTTGCTTTGAATCTTCGAAAACGATGGAACATTTTTTTTGAGATATTATCATTGAAAATATTAGGATAAAATAAAATATAAAAAGAATCAAATTAACGATATTTATTAGAATAATTTTACTTCAATTTATTAATGATATTTATTATCATTACGAAAAATTAAAAATTATTTTCATATTTTCCAACTATTTTTTTGATTCTTTCGATTATTGCCAACTATGTACAAAATCTCCAAAATTTTAGGCTTTAGGCTTCGCTTCAATAAACGAGAAATTTCATTTATCATCAAAATAACTGAAACCATAGGAAAAAATTTTTCACTACAGATTATTTTTTTGTAATATTTCATACGTGGTTTCTGCTCAGATTCCGGTTCATCGGACTACGGCAATAAGCAATTTTTGCCAGAATGTTCAGATATTTTATGAAAATTTCTTGGTGAAAAGTTCAGGAAACGAAGCTATTTGTTGGAGTCTATAATTTAACGTATTTTTTAGAAAAAACGATCGCACTAGCTTATAGAATGTTTATAAGGTTGTTAAGCATAAATGCAATTTAAGCCTGAAAGAAACATCTGCACTGCACGAATATAAAGCAACGCTCATCAAATTTGAGCTGGTCAATTGGACAAACGCAAAGTTACCTATCGTTTAGCATAAAATAAAGGTAACGGCTAGCGGTTTCAAATGAGTACTTAATAATTCACGACGTGCTCACCAAAAGGATAACATTGATATGGCGACATAATTTCTTAGTCTTGCACTTATCTCTTCATGGATGTGTAGGTTTTCGACTAGAAATTAGCTTTTGTTGAAAGAATTTATTCTAAGAATATATTGCCACATCGTGGAGCCGTTTCGCTATGCGGATGGAATGTTTTTACTGTGTTTCACAAATCTGTTCGCAGATCTATAACTTGAAAGATATCAAAAAGCGTAGGTTATCAAGCTTATCTCCATTTGAAATATCGCAATACTTAACTTAAATGAGATTTTTTTCCGTTCAACTGACTTCAAAATATTATTACATTAACAAGCAATATCAATATTTGAACTTCTTTAATTTAATAAGCTAAGCAATGAATTGATTCGATATTTCAGAAATTATGCACTTCGAAAATTTTACCTTTTATTAGGCATGGATTGCGTATACCAACTGGAATTTAAAATTTCGCTATCTTCTTAAAATATTTTAAAATATTAGAATTCGCAATTAAATAATGAGAACCGTAATTTCTGACCGTATTAGCTCGACTGGTTGTCTAATACGGTTAGAAATTTTTGCCGAGGAAGCGCTTGGCGATGGAAATATAGGTGTGTTGAAAAAAGTATCACTCGAATTTTTTTAAGTGTTTAATAATGTCCGAATGTATTATTGCTTTGAGCAGCCACTTATCGCCAAATACGACAATGTTTAAACCGCTATCCGCTCAGCTAACCTGTCAACCAAATCGAAGAATATAAAGAGAAGATTGAAGACAATTATTTGAATTTGATAGAAAAAAAAGAAGGCTATGATTGAAACGATTTCAGCGAAGAGAAGTAAATCAGAACCGACTCTAAAGATTGAAATATCAGAAAAAATTATGGAATTACCTCTTGAAGAGAGAAAATTCAAGAATGGTTGGTCATCGAAGCCATTTGAAAGGAATAATACCATTAAAGGTAAGCAAAATTTGTTTATTTCATCAGAAAATTGGAACCAACCTAATTGTGTTCTAAAAATTTAGCTCTAAAAATAGAATAGAAGCGGTAGCCAGTTATAATAGCCTGTTAAATCATCTTAGTGATGGTCTCAGTTTGATGCCAAAACTAGAAGTGATGATTGGTTATTTAGTTTTATTATACTACTTTAGGTGATAGGTATATTCGAGCAAATATGACTCCAAATTTGGTTAGACGATTTAGCGAAAATTTTTTATTTTCGTTTTATCTTCTTATCTTCGACGATTATCAACATACCAGCTTATATAAAATCTGTTTCAATTACATTAGATTTCTGCAGAGACATCTACGAGTGATGCAAAAATTGATCAAAATGGACTAACTTTACGGTGTGCATTAGCGCACGCAATTGGTCTTACTTGTAATATTACTGGATTCAATAATCTTCCTGAATTATATCGAGTAATTTTTTGTGGATATGGCGAAAGAATAATTTGCTTCGCTCTAGCCATTTTATATTTTCATATTTTTTTGCCTTTGCGAGTTTTTACTTTTCAAAATTTTCTCAACCCAATTCATCATTTATGATTTTTTTCTCTTCTTACGAGATTTATCTGAGTTTTGTGGTAAACTTTGTGGTAAATTTGATTGATCTGAATTTAATATGCGGTAAAATTTGATAGAAACTTGTAGAACTTTTCGGAAGACTCGAAGCAGGCAAGTTAGTTTCAAAAATTCTATAGTTCCGATTTTTATTTAAAAAATTCTTTTCATTAGCAATTTTGCATGTAATATCTTTTTTAACACAAATTACCTTATATTTTTATCACTAAAAAAGGAATATTTGAAGAAAATCGCGGAAAATTATGGTTTTGCAATGAATGACATAATTTTTTGCACGACTAATACAAATAAAATCGACGTTGAATGTCTAATAAATTCGTGGAACGATATTAAACCGAATAGTTTGATTTTCGCTCATATTTCTGGTAAAACGAAGGAAGTAACAATGAAAAAAACCGATCGGTTTGAATTTGAATTTTTGTTGTAATATTCATCAATAAGCGAAATTTTAAAAAATATTCACCTATTTCTGATTTGGCTAGTTCCACTCCTTATCGTGATAAGAGCTCTTCGCCAGAGAGTTACTTGATCAACAGTCGATAATATTTCAAAAATATTTAGGGCGAATTTATTATCCACTCATGAAATTCTATCAGATTTAAAGATATGCTAACTTCATAATTTGAACTTTTTAGTTTTGTTGGTTTGACGGTGGCTGATAACGGTGTGGATAAAGTATTCGTAAAACGTATTAAAAATCCATCGATATCATTGAACGTTCGCCCACAAATCAAGGTTTCTTCGTCTAATCCAATTATTTCGTTTTAAGAATAATTTATTTTGAATCAGAACCATTTTAGGCAAAAAGATAAAACTGATAGTCTGATAGTTTATCATTTTCATGAATACAAAGCCAAAACAGCGGTTGTAAATAAGAGACCGGCCACTTTTATCAAATTCAATTTCATTTCGACGCCACTTTTATATACCTACCTACCTAGCAATTCAATATTGGAGAAAACACGCACAATAATAAATAATTTTGCCAAAAAATTAACTTGAGAACCAAAATTCACCATTAATAATTGAGTATAAAGGTTGGTGATCACATTCAAATGATAAATGGTGTGAGCATGGTTGGAAAAAAGCATTTCAATGTTTCGAATTACATAAGAAATATTGTCATTGGAGAATCGTATGTCCATTATTTTAAATTTTTTTTAAAGAGTGATTGTTGGTTAAACTCGCTCCGCTGGCTTACTCGATTAGACAAATGTGTACCAAGGAGTCCTTTGATAATAAATAAATAGATGAGTATACCTCAGCAATCGGAATTGAACAAGAACCCACTGAGTCATTCCATTCTCCTTTGTTCTTTCTGTTAGGAGGCGAGACTGTAGCCCGACAAAGGATAGTGCCTCAGCTGGACTCGAACTCAAGCATCGATTCTCGGTGGCAATTACCTTGCCATGAGCCACCAATGCACCCTATGCTTAGAATAGCAAAAGAAAAATTCTTTCATCCATAATTTTCTTTCTATTCTGGATATCGGGATTCGATATTAGTTTATTTATTTTTTGAAAGATTTGTTTACTTATTTCATGCAGAGCAATAGCCATATGGTTATGTTAATAGCAATAACGGATAATACGATTAATAAAAGAATAGTGTATTGCAGTAGTACAAGGTTTTATGTCTTCTATATATCTTCTACTGTTTAAGAAGAACCATTAAAATCGAAGGCATTTTTGGCATTTTCGAAAATCCCCGATTTTTAAGATTATTAATTTATAAAGCAAGTACTCTTAATATTCTGTAAAATCACGTGAATTCGAAAATTAAATTTGATTTTTGAATTCTCAGAGTTTTGCAAACTATTAAGGATAATAATTTAACAATTCATTAAGTAATCATAGTAAGCTGCAATATCTAAGTACCAATTGGTAATATGTGCTTATTTCATGAAGAATCACTATGCTTTTGGTCGAGCCAAAAAGAGCTAATGACTCAGCCGACAAGCCAACTTTGCCAAACAATCAAAAGTTGTATCTCGAAGCCACTAGAATCCAGGTTAAGCACAAACATTTTTAATTATACTGGTTGCCAGAAATATTTGAATAAAAAAATGATCTAATATGGGAGTTTCATATTATCGATATTTATTAAAGAAATTGAATAAGAAGCATAGTAAAATTTTGACTTGGCTTTCAGTTTTCATCGGCCATAAAAATTCATTTCCAAGGGAGAATCGCGAAACCGAAAAAATAATTTAATTCTATTTTATCATAAATTATAAAAAAAATATAAAAAAATTATAAAAAAATTCAACAAATTCAGTGATTCTTTAAAAATGATCAAAAATGATTAGATTGATTAGACCAATCTTACTTATTTTAATGCGGAAGATGTAGGCTTGAATCATATGCTCATTCTGCCCCTTCTGGGTGAGTGCTGCACTGCACCTTTATCCTCTTGGTGACTTTTGGTCAAATAGTTTTATCATAGTGGAGTTAATAATTGATAAAAATTATGAGTATTGTTAAAATCTGAGCTGAATGATTTTTCACCTTTATATAATTTAGAAAAATGAACCGGACGCGATTGTTGTGGAGCATATCAATATGATATTTGATTCGTCTATGAGTTTCCGTGACGACCAGGAATTCGCGCAAAAGACAGGACAATTTGGTTCGAAATGCGCGAATTTCACTGAGACAAAATCGCATTTACATGAGGTATGATCTATCTAAAATCTATATTCAGCATATTTCTACTGAGTGCGAATTTGCATTCTATTCAAATGTCTTAATCAATTGCATTTATGAACAACGATGGATAGTATGTTGATTTCCCGCATTTCCGGCTGATTACTTTTTAGTATATCCGCGAACATTATTAAACTTTCCTCAAATAATTTAGCTTATCGAGAAAAGATCTTTTCCATTGTTATCACTCACTTATCAACGATTCACAACTGTTTATCACTAATAAAATTTCCTTTCTTCACCATCTTTAATCCTGTGGTTCTTTACCAATAACAGTTGTCATTGTTGTCCATGTAATTGCCAGATTGCCAGATTCAGATTTAAGATTTTGGTACCCTAAATTTGTCTCTGATCTTCTCCAATTGAAAATTTATTTTAACTGCAACGAATACAATTCACTTATTTCCTTAAAGAAGATATATATTACTTTTTTGTCTCATTTTTCACAAATCTATGAACAAAATCTAAACGATTAATTGTATGTGCATAATTAGAATTTTTTATTTTCAGTCGAATAAGGGAAATTCGCAGTTCGCTGATGAATTAATTTCGAATATATGGGCGGTGATTAATGATTGGAGAAGGAATCGCTTATCAAATTTATCAAAAACTAATCAGTGAATTCATCGAATTTCCGTAATTGTCCTGAAAACTAATCGTAACTAATGAATAAATTCGAATTTATCGTATTTTACGCGTTCAATCACATTTTATGAAAAAGCAGATTTTTTTTATAATTAATTTGAGTGAAACACAAATGCATAAGGAACCATTGCTCGTCTGACAATTGCCCACAACATACTTAAGTCCTTAAGCTTTCTCTTAAATTTATAGCCAATTACTTGAACGGCAACCTCATATATTCGCTGTTCATATAAGTTTCTCACCGTAAACTGTTCGAATTGCCCCCGCTAAATGCGACTGGTATTCGGTCCAAATCAATGTATAGGAGTAAGGCAGTGATATGCGACTGATTAGATAAAGTCCCACACTCTCTGAGCCAAGAGTAACATCCAAACTTAACTCCGAACACTTTTTTCTTACACAGACGATCGTTGCTATTTTGCCGTGTATCAGTGTTTTCCCAACAAAGCCGATTTTTAGTAATGTACGAAGCTGATGATTAAAAATCTCTGGCATTAAGCAAATGTGCGGCCCAGATAACCGAAAAGTGTCGCTTTAAAGGTTAATGTGTTATGAAAAATTTTTTTTTCGATCTTCTCAAATGATATTCGTTTCGAAATCTTATTTTATTTTTCGTTTAAATAATCCGCTTTGAATGGTAAAAATCTGATATAAACGGTTTCAGGTGAGTTAGAAAATGGATTTGGTTACAGCGACTCGACAGTACATTAGCGAAATGATTCGGTTAGCCGGGCCCGGAATGAAAATTATGATGATGGACAAAGAAACGGTCTGTCTTTTCACTCCTTTTTTGTTGATCATTTCTTGCTTCTTGGTATTAAAGAATAAATAATTTCACCATGGAATCATTATTTTAAATTGGTGAGGGTGCGAAGTGGAAGGGAGGAATGTAGCAGAACATTTCGATGGGTGTCCTCATTTCAGTAGAGATGCTCGGATCTATTTCTATTTCCAGCGGAGTGAAACTTTTTTTAAAGATCTGCTTTATTTTTTAGCCATTTTTCTGTACTTCTATCTATAAATGATTCCCTGGTAAAATTTGGTAACACAGCAGAATAGACTAACTTGAATTGGGTGCTCTTTGGGCGCTTTTTTGGGGATAATAAGAATTTGGCTTCGTTATGAGACAAAAATCGAACCTAGAATGGCCTAATCGAAACAACATACTATTCAACCACCCCTTTCTTATAACGTATATACTAGTAAAGTAACATTTTATTTTAGTTTTGCAAGCTTTTATTCAGCCTAGTTCTTCAATTTTTTTGCACTTTATTGAATATTTGTTATTTTCAGACGAGTACTATATCATGTGTTTACGCACAGAGTGATGTAATGCAGAAGGAAGTTTACCTGTTCGAAAGAATTGATTCTGGCATTCAAAGGTTTGAAAAAACTTTTATTTTCTGCCAAATTTTTTAATAAAAATTTAATAATTTTGCCTTTTTGCAGCAAAATGCTGTGAGTAATATTTTTTATTATCATATCATACCCTATCGTTGGTTCTTCAAAATCTTTAATCTTTTATATTTCATAATTATGAAATTCCGTTTTTCAATTTCAATCGCTTTTAATGATTTTTCGTTACTTTCCATTTATTCCATTAGTTCTTAAATTTTTTTACAATTATTGAATATTTATCATTTTTAGACGATTATAACGTGTTCTTACGTAAAGTGGATGATTGATTTATCATTTGTTCATTCCAATTTATTTGCAAGTTATTCACTGTTTTCAGAGAACCAATAAAGTATCTCAAATGTATTTCCTATCTACGTCCGACGCCAGAAAACATAAATCTCCTTTGTCAGGAACTTCGATCTCCCAAATATGGACAGTATTATATTTGTTGGTTTTTTTTTTTTGCATATTGCTCTGTATTTGCTAAAGAATCTTTTGGATATGAATTTCCGTAATGTTTCCAAAAATTAAAAAGATTTATTCTTGCAGAATTTCGACAAAGTAACATTTTGTTGAGTGAAAATTATAATTTTTTTAAAAGTATTTCAAATACCATAATTTTTACTACCAACTAAGTCATATTTTTAGATTTCTGTAATATTATTAGCAAAACAGACGTGAAAACATTAGCTGAATCTGACGAACAAGAGATGGTTCGTTTTTTTTGTAAATTTTTTTTTTCGAAATATTTTGATATTTTTAATAATTTGTGGTGTTTCAAATTTAAATATTTGTAAAAATTTTTTTAATGATCTTTTTAGGTGCGTGAAATGCATGAATTTTACATGGATGGTGTCGCATTGTGCCCACATCTATTTACTTTAAATATACCGCAGAATTATGGGTTGTCATATTCTTTTTCTCTTCCCGTGTTTCGTCGATCTATTCTTTCGATTATATCTGTTTTACTAGCTATGAAGAAAAAACCTCTTATACGGTTCTTTTTTTAATTTTAAGATAATATTTGAGATAATTTAAGATATAAGATATTTATTCGATTACTTTTAATTGACATAGAATTGAAATTTTCTCAGAATTTATGATATTCTTCATTTTTAATTATTTGGTACTATTAGCTATCAATTTTCCTATCCGGATGCAAAGAGGTTGGCCGAAGAAGTTGCTAGAGCGATGATTCGAGAAGAAAATTTATTCGAAACTTGTAAATCTGACACAGTGATGTTAATTATCAACAGAAGCGAAGATCCAGTCACTCCACTTCTTAATCAGTGGACATATGAGGCAATGGTACAGTTTTTCAATCAAATTCGATTTCATTAATTTTTTTTTTTTGTTCAAAATTTTCCTTCGATATATTATTATAGGTACATGAATTACTTGGTATAACTAATCATCGAGTTACAACAGATTCTGCTTCTGATCTCGGAACTGTTTTACTTTCACCTTTCAGTGATTCATTTTATTCAAATGTAAATTCTTTAAATTTTTATCTGTTTATTTGTGGCTTCGTAATACTAACCGCTCATTATGGTTGTTACCTGTTTTTTTCTTTTATTAATTAGAATATGTAGCCAATCAATCTTTTATTTTTTAATTTTTCACATTGGATTAGTGGATATATTAATTTAATAGCAATTATGTAAATATAATTTGCGCAGTTCAGAATATGTACGCAGATTTCGGTGAAATAGGACAAAATATCAAGAATCTTATGACTGAATTTCAACGAAAATCTCAAACCACTCAGAAACTTGAATCAATCAGTGACATGAAAAATTTTGTTGAGCAATATCCACAATTTAAGAGGATATCTGGTTAACTGTTTTAGAAATTTTTTTGTGCTTTTAACTTTATTTCTACATTATTCCTTAATAATTACTCAGGTTATTTTGGTTCCACTCAGAGTGCGATTTTCTGTTCGTGCACGATGGATACTGGAATAAAATTAGGATAAAAATTTTATTAAAATTGAAGATTCTCTAGTTATTTCAAATTACTTCTTTTGTTCGTTTACTATATAATAAATAATTTTCGGTTTAGGAACCTTATCGAAACATGTCTCTGTTGTTGGTGAGCTTTCCAGACTTGTTTCTGCTCGAAATTTGCTTGAAATATCTGAAGTCGAGCAACAGATTGTGTGTAATGGTGAACATTCGCAATGTCTCGATGCAGTTCGACGTTTATTGCAGAATAATCAAACCACAGAAATCGTAATTTTTATTTTCATGGATTTTTTATCAGTTTATTTTCTTTTAAAGAATCGCTTTTTTAGTAAATTTGAATATTTTGTGAGTATAAATGAAGCATAAATGTTTTATGTAATCTTAATCGTCTTTTTAGATAAACATTTTTTCAAAGCATTTTTAAGGTATATCAGGCTTTTTTCGCCCTATATTAGAAATTGGTTTTTTGGTTTGGTAAATTGGTTTTTTCTTTTAAAAAATTCGTATGAGTTTTTTCTACAAACCCTAGTTCTTAATTTTCTTGTTTTGTATAAAACAGATTTTTTTAATTTGTGCACATTAATTAAGTACATCATAAATTTTGGCACCTTTTGATCATAGTGCCAACTTTTTTTCTGAAAATTAATAAAAGATAATTAATTGAAAACTGATTCACTCCATCAATTTGCTGTTTAATATTCTTATAGGATTTGACAAGATTGGTGATGTTATATGCGCTTCGGTTCGAGAGTCATGCAAATAATGATACTCAAGGACTCATGCAATTACTCAAACGTAGGAATGTTAGCAACAAAAATTTTAAGGTTTTATTTTCTTAATTATGGCTATTTCATCTGGATATTTTAAAATATGCTTTGGATGGTGTTCGGTCATTTTTTCCGAATTTCTGGAGAACCTTGAATTTTTTTTAGGCTGTCAAAGCGGTTCTTGATTTTACTGGATCGTCTGCTCGACGAAATGATCTTTTTGGGCGTTCTGCTATTGCTATAACGAAAAAATTGATCAAGGGGATAAAAGGAGTCGAAAATATATATACTCAATATGAACCTTATATAAATCAATTGATTGATTCTTTAGCCAAAGGGAAGTTATCAGAAACTGTTTATCCATTTATCACATCTGGCCAAAAGTTCGTTGATTTTATGATTTTGAATTTTTTCATAAAGCCATCATTTCTTTGCAATTCCAGTCACTGCCTTTCTTTCATTTCTATTCATTTTCTACATAGAATGGGCTTAGAATCGCAGTCACTTGGTTCTTTTATCAGTTACATCTAATTCTTTTCTCTGATTTTTTAAATAGTTATTTATTTTTTTTTTATTTATTTATATTCAGAAAAATTATAGTAGCGTAAATTTTTTAAATTTCTCTGTCTCATTTTCATGTAATTTTAGCAGTAAGGCTGATAATATAATATTATTTGTTATTGGTGGGACAACGTATGCGGAATCTCGTATTGTACACTTGTATAACGAGCGAAGGTACAATGGCGCAAATTTACCTGCTGTTCTTCTGCTTTCAACGACAGTACTTAATACACAAAGGTTTCATTGTCATAGTTTCTAAAATTAAATTGAACATCTGTTGATAAATTATCTGATTCCAGTTAATTTGATTTTTTAACTCGAGGCTACAACTTCAGTTAACTTTTAAAATCAGAATCGAGATTTTAAAAAAATCTGATCCTTATTTCAGCAATTAAAAAATAAGTTTAGTTGCCAATAAAAAATAATAATTGTTTATCTGAGACCGTGTACTGCTAAAAGTTTCATATTTCTTTTAATTTTATAATTTTTTACATTCTGGAAATTTTCAGTTTCATAGATGAAATCACATCGATATAACCGTCGTTAAATCTGGAACTTTTTTAACTTAGATCGCTTTATGTACGTTCATTCCATTTTGTATATTAGAAAAAGTGTGGAGAATATTGTTTATGCAGTATTTCCGCTATTTGGTAATTTTCTCATATAATTTATTTTATCATCTTTATTCACTGAGTATAAAATGGCTTATATTTAAGCCAAATGTAAATTGGTAAATATTTAATGTATCTATATCTATAATAAAAGTATTACCGTTTGTAATAATAATTTACATTATAATAATTTATTGTATGAATTGCAACAAGAAGAAAAAAAAAGAGAAACTAAAAAGGCTCAAGAAAAAATATGAAAGAAAAATTTTAATAAGATGCAATATTTATTTCGAATGGTGCATGCGGCTGGGCTTCTTCAGTGCCTGCGTCCTTCACATCGCTTGCTCTTGTGCCACCAGCAGCTACTAACGCAACAATTTCCTCCTTGAAAAAGAATATAATATTCCAAATTAAGTTAAAAAGCGCTTAAGATCTAGCAGAACGTATTAATGATTACGATATCAATTTAAAGACTTAACTGATATCGAGATATTGATATTTAATCAAGATTTAATTGCTTCGGCAATGGCTTTAACGTAACTGTAATTATGAAAGAATTTTCTAATAACGACGAAGTTCACATAAAATTTGTTCGTTTTTTCAATAATGCGAAAGGACCAAAGGCCATCTTGTTTAAATCCTGATAATTCGTCGCAATTTGCTACGAATAATTCACAGTTGAATTGATTTTAATTATTTAATCGTATGAAAGTGATGCATACTTGCTCTTCACCGGCCTTTTTATCCTTTAACATAATAATACCGCCTTGTGATAAAGCTTTCAATGGCTTATATCTACTCGATTCCGGCATTTGTAAAGTTTTCAGCTGTAAACGAACGACACGAGCCGGATTTTGTAGATTATGCATTAACGGTTCTGGTTCTTTCATAGTACTGGCACTGCAAAACTATTTTCATTCATAAAATGGGCTTTAAATATCCGATTTGTTGAATAGAAAATAATGCATGTGGAATAATTGTTAATTGTTCTCATTCGTAATATAAAGGCTTTTAAGGTGAAATTTAGCATTAAAGCTGGAAATTAAACAAAAAACTAAGATAATTAAGAGGAATTCAATCAGCTTTCATTTCTTTTAAATTGTTTGAAAAAATAGTTAAATATGATAATTAATCGCAAAAACTCACTTTTTTCCTTCAGATAAAGATTTATTATCGATAAGAGAATCGTTCAAATCGATTTCCATTTTCTCCTCTTCTTGTTTCTCTTTATTTTCATCGCGCTTTTCTTTTTTCTCTAAAATTTTCTCTGAAGCCGAGATTTTCTTCTTGTTTGTCACTGATAATACTGCTGCTTCAATCTCAAATGTTTAAAGGTTTTTTAGGTAGAATTTTAAAAAAAATTTTAAAAAAATATTTGAAAACAATTTTTGGAGAGTATCGCCAATGCTTTTATAATAAACTTTTTTCCGTTGCTAAATATTGAATTTTTAATATTTTTTAATTAAATAAATAAAAAAGTAAAATTAGAATTCAAAATCAACCGTGGTTTAACAAACCTAAAATTTACAAAATCGAAATACAAAATTTTTCAACAGTGCTTGAAAAAAAAAAGCTAACTCTTTCGTTTTCTTCTTTTTTCTTTTCTTCGAGTGGTGGTGGATAAGCAAATGTCGATGGCTTCGCATTTGAGCGAAATTCAGTTTTTGGCATCTGAAAAAATCTCAAAAGAAATCCTAAATTAGAAATCTTTACGAATCATTAGATATGATCAAATGAAAAAAAAAAAATTTGAGTGAACGGTTTAGTCCAAACAACATTTATTCATAATAATACGAAAAAATCTGGAAAATATCTGAAAAATAATATAAATCTCGAGAATTAGTATAAATTCTGAATAAGTGCAGTGAATAGATTTCAAAAGACAGATTACGCAAAATTCGTCATAATAATCGAATGCTTTTACCACTTATAATATATTCCATCAAGCAAGGATGTCATTTTCATGTAATTAATTAAACTTAATAATTAAAATTTTAAGGATAAAAGAAGAAAAGAAGAACCTCAAGATTCGAATTGAGACCAATAAGACATGTGGGTTTGAAAGCGAGCGATGCGAAATGCGCAAATGAATGCCAATACCAATACTGTAAAAAGACGAACATTCCAACGACACTCTGCATATCGGAGTGCCCGTTACGATTATGTAACGAAATAGTTACATTACGACCACCAGCATCTATTATTCCTTGAGCCAGAATTGCACCAAGTTTTGTTATCGAGTCCTCACCCTTCTCTGTTATCATCTAAATATTCTTAAATACGTAAGCAACCATATGAATATGACTTTGGCAAATTGACTGACTAACCACCACGGTTAAAATCACTTAGAGGGTGGTAAAGAAAAAAAATTCAAGAACCGTATAAAAAAAAAATAAATAAAAAGTCTACATGAAAACTTTTGCAAGATAATCGTATTATCCTATTTCCTATAGTTTCAATAAAACTACAATTAAAATTCATAAAAATTTGTCTAGACAGTAAATTAAATTCAATTCAATTAAATTCCCATATTCAGGTTACTTTTTTTTTTTTTTTTATTAAATTTAACACATTGTTTTGTTGAAAAAAAAACTGCCTATGAAAAAAATGAAAAAAATAAACTTTCGTGAGAACTCGTCGAAATTCGCCGACTTTACTTGAACTTGCTTCTGTCTGTTGAATTAATATAAATGACAATGCTAGTACAGCGCCTTGTCTAACGAAATTTTCTTTGGCCACAATTAGTTGTTCAAATAGTGCTACTGCTTCCTGAAATTCAAAAAGCGCTAATTAAACGAGAAAGTCTCAAGAAAAAAGACCGATATGCAATTTAATACTTATAATATATTTCAAATTTGAATTTCAAATTTCAAATTTGAATTCAAATTTAAAAAAATGAAATAAATGCGAATGAAAATAAAAAAAAACCTAAACAGCTTGCACTCTAATTATTAAAATAAATTTTTTTGAAATAATTTTACAAAAAAAAAATCTTTTGCTACTTAGAGGACGAAAAAAGAAAGCGGCCTCTTCTTTCAATTAAGAACATAAAGGCAAATGACTAGTTTAAATAAATAAATTAATTAATTAACTGCAATAATATTCGCAAAATAAATCGCTCTAATATTTTTTTGTACTTATTTTTTATAAATAGAAAAATAGCAAAGAACTTTTATCCACTCGAGATCGAGAAATTCTCGCGCAACTTTAGCTTAATTATGCAAATAACTACTATTATCATTTTAATTTAATTGTTTATTAGTATTATTTTAATTTATTGCCCGAAAAAAAGCAACTATTAAAATTTCAGACTTCCTTCTTTCTTTCTCTCTTCGTTTCAACCAAGTAGGACAACGATTAGACTAATAACCTATTTCTCTATCCCCAAGTGAGGCCTCCCCGGCCAAAAGGTCTTATAGCGATCACTGGAAAAATTATCAAAATCGGAGAATTCTGTTGACATAAAATTATCTCACATTGTCTCCAGTCAATCCTTTAAATAAGAAATTCTTTCGAATTTTTCAAAAAGTGAATGTGATAAAAAGTGATTAAGTGATAATATTTAAATTTATCTAAAAGCGAAAATTAAATATTTTAACATTAAATTTTTTATTTCAAACCAAAATCCATAATCAAATCAACGAATATTGAATCTAATTCTTTGTTTCGTTGTTTTTTTTTTTTCATTAAGCTTAGTTTAAATTCATTTTGAGAATTTTTAAAATTATTCAAATTAGTACTTTCGTAAGGCAACAAAAAATCGCTTAAATCCGCTTATTCTAAAAATGAAAAAACGAATCTATTAAGTAAAAATCTCGATTAAAGAAAATCAATTTTATTTTTATCAATACTCATTCAGATGTGATTAACACTTTTTAGCCATAATTTTTCATATTCATATTTTTTGCATTTTCCATTTTATTTCAGCCTACAAACATAAACGTCATGAATTGTTTCATCAATTTTTTCACAAATGCTTTAAAATTCATTCTCTACGCATCTACCATTTAGATATTTTAGCTGTCAGCTAAAATAATGATCAATATAAATCAAGAGAAAAAGACTGGCAAAATCAAAGATCAATTGGCAGATAGATGGTGTTTTGCAAATATTTAACAGAAAAGTGATAAATTTTGCAAATGCCTCAAACTGATAGATGTGATAAACTGATAGATGTGATAAACTGATGTGATAATAGTAAAAAAAAAGTGAAATTGAGGAATTAAAGCATATTACTGTGGTTGAAAAAAAGATTGTGAATGAAATTAGTCAATAATGAATTATAAAAATTGTTGAACCATGCATAGTTTTCTTCTTCCTTAATTTAACAAACAATAACACTTGACGCCTTTGTGATTTTCAATTTGCATTCGCAATCAAATTAAATTTTTCAACCGTGAAAAAAAATAGTGCAAGAAAAAATTGGAATAATTTCTTGCTTGAGTCATATATGTCAAAAACTTTATTTCCCTTCCGTGTAAATATATTCAAGCAAAAAACCAATTAAATGGCAACTGGCAATTTTAATAAGTTAAAAAATTAAAAAAATTTAGCAAAATCGAGAATGCTGCAAGTTTAGTGAACAATTTTCGAACGTAAAAAATCAAATTATAAGACTAGTATAATCTTTACTTTAGTATCTCAAATCAAATCTGAATTTTGAATTCTAATTAAAATCTATATTTAAGAGTGATAAGAGCAATATAATCCGATGAAACCATAGCAGCGAAACTAATAAAAATTAAAAAACCAAATTTTTATGCCTCATTTCTCAATTAACACTTGTCTTCCTCAATCACTTTCACTAATAATTTATTAGTAAAATAATAATTTAGAAAAACAAATCACTTTGGTCAAATGAAGATTAAAAAATAATCAAAACTGATCAAATTTGTAAATCGATTATCTAGAAAACCAAAATAATTACAGCAATTGTAGCAATTGCAGTTAAAAATTATTTATCCAAAAAATTACCAAACTTCCTTCTATTCAAAAACCAAATTAAAATCAAATTCGTAAAGCCTTCTATAATAAATAAAGTACCAATCGAAGTGAATTCACTGAAATATTCAGTTTGCAATAAACTACACTTACGGTTGGCGTCTCCAGATGACTCTCTAGAAAAGAGCGAAAAGACTACAGGATCACCTTAGTGCCAATAAATAAAATAAACTCATTCAAGATAGGAATTATAAATGTATGAATTCGACGAAGACTATAACTATTGTTGGCATAAACTCGAGAAAAAAATCATTGATCGCGAAATTCAACCATTAAAAACAATCATGAAATAAATAAATAATTTACGAGTGTCGACATGCATTGAAAAAATAAAACATTACTAAAAAAACTTATTCGCCTACTAATATTATTTTCACCATATATTAGAATTGATAAGTATTACCTTATTTATTTATTTAAAACGTCAATCTATGCTTAAGTGCTAAAGTGCATGACTTTTAAGCATTTATAAGTTTCTAGCAAATCGCTAAATCAGAATCCTTAAAAGATATTCCACATCAAAAAATATATGAAATGGATAAAAATGAAAACCTTATAGCCCGAACCGGCACACGATATTCCGAGCGCAATCGCCGCTCCATACCTCACATGTGGATTGAAATGTTCGACAAGCATTCCCGTATAGCTCAAACATTGTTCTGGATCACTGAAAAAATTAGAGGTTTAAAAAAAAAAAAACAAAATACTACCTTTTATATTAAAGGAAAAAGATTTTATCTAGTTTTTTGAAAAAAACAAAAAAGTTGAAAAATTTTCATGTTCCTTGTTGAAGTTAATTGATGAATGCATTTCGTGAAGAAAGGCAAAAAAAAAGAAGAAAGAAATTTTTCTTAAGTTAGATTTTTAAGTTGAGAAATTTGCAAATCCGCAAATTCCTCAATGTTTATGAATTCACTTCGACGTGAATAGAAACACGAAAAAACAAGCGTCGTTCCCGTAAAAAATTTTCCGCCAAAATTTTTCTAAAATGCAGCAATTTAAATTTTCCAGTGCTAAACTAATAAACAAATAACAAAAGGCTGAAATTTTTAAGAAATAATTATTTCAAAAAAATATTAAAATGATTAAATTTCTTTATCAGCTTTAAAAATTGAAAGATGAAAAATTCTTGTTTTTCGAAATCCATTCGACTCCGCCTTATTCTTTTCTCGCTCCAAAAACTCGCAAACTAATATCGAATTCAGCAAATCTCCAAGAACTTTTTCACCACCTAATTGTCCTTAACATCCAATTGAATGGTGAAAAAAATGCTTCTCTATCTTTAATCTGATAACAATTTATCAGCCACAACCAGCTCTCAATAAAATTAAATTCAGGCTGAAATCCGCGAAATCCACAAATTTATTTTCTATATTATGAAATTTTCTATCGAAAATCGTTATAACTTCGATTTCCAATTAATCGCGCATTTTCTTTTTTTCATCTTTCTTTTGCAATCACCAAAGTGTTAACGAAGAATTACAAAAATTCGACCACTATAAGCGCATTTCTTGAATTGTTTTCTAACGCTATCTTCATTTATCATTTATCACTAATCGCTATCGGATATCATCGGGCAAGGTGAGCAACGATTAAAACATCCAATTTATTCAACGCCATATTTTTATTTATATATTATTGCTAAAATTTGTTTTTTTATGCCCCAACGGGGGTTCACACAAATTCGTAACAAAATCGCCATCAATCAGCAACAAAATCCATTTATTCTAACGGTATCATCGTCAACTGCTGTTATTATTACTGCAAGTAATAGCAGTAATTTATCAACAACAACAATAACATTATCATTGTTTACTCTATTACCTGTATTTCTTGTAAAATTATTAAGCATTACTATCGGATTACTTGGCAATCTATTTGTTTGTATAGCTATACGATTCGATCGTCGCCTACATAATGCAACAAATTATTTTCTCTTTTCACTTGCGCTGGCTGATCTATTAGTTTGCGCACTTGTTATGCCGTTGAGCCTTTTACAAGAAATAATCCAAGGTTTTTAATTTTCTATCAATTAATCATCAAATTCATGCATAAATATTCATTTTAAAATTTTTTTTTCTACAAAATTATCATTTTAAATTATTGAAAAAAATTCAAATAAAGTAAAACAAGCCTAAAGAAAATTCATTTAAAAAAAAAGAGATAGAAAAATTTAAAAAAAACGAAAATAATCCTGTAAAAAATTACTCCAAAAAAAATCGCCCATCCGATCACATTTAGCATAGGCGAGAAAATAAACGAAATAATTCGTTTAAATGCGCCCAATTAAGTCAATTCAAATCAGAATAAATTATTCGCCACCAAAATCCAAAATCTACAGATTTGCTAAAATAAAAAAAGAAAATAAAATATCCTAAAATAATGGCTAAAAAGCTGAAAAAAAAGGCAATAATTTAATTCGATAATCTAAAGTAAATTATTTATTCATTTATTTGCTAACCTAAATGATTAAAGAATTAATATAATTTTATAATTTATTATTTTATAATAAATAGAATATTAATGCAATAATAATAGTAATAATAATAATAATAAAGATTAATTTTTTTCGAATTTGGCTAATTATTATCGATATTTTCTTGAAAAATTATTTTAAAAAAGTATAAAATAAAAACTCAAAAACTAAAAAAAATCGATTTGAAAAATTAATTAATTTTCTTGCAGAAGTTTTTTATAGTTAAATTTTCAAAAAAAATCTAAAAATCTTTTTACAAAATCCTTTAAAAAAGTCGAAAATTAATCTTTTCAACGATTAAATTAAAATTTCTATTATAGATAAACGAATAATAAACGAATTTGCAATTGATAATTTTTCTATTTATCTCAGCTTCTCTCTTCTTCCCTATTAACCAATTGTTAGCTAAAACTTAGCCTAATATCATTCACTAATCGAGCAAAACCACTTCGCATGGAAATCAATTGGAGAAGAAAAATGTGATCACCAGTGGATTTTGTGGATTTTACTCGCCACAATAGATTTCTCCTAAGGAACAAGAATTAAGCACGTAATACTTACTCTCAACAATATTTCAATAAAAAATCTCATCAAGTAATTTCTAGGTAAATGGCGTTGGAATCTAACAATGTGTCAAATTTATACCTATTCGGATGTATTCCTATGCAGTGCAAGCATCGTCCATATGTCTGTCATATCATTCGATCGTTATTTAGGCATATCAAAACCATTAAAAACTCGAAACAAGTCAATAACAATGATTATCATAAAGATAATACTCGTTTGGTTGATAACAACAATTATATCATGCCCGATTATGATTATCTCGCTCATAGATCCAAGCAATATCTTTCAAAATGATTCGAATCTTTGCCTCATATCGAATCGTTATTTTATGATCTATGGCTCAACATTTGCATTCCTTATACCTTTTATCGTTATGGCTGTAACCTATGTGAAGACAACCAATTTGCTATATAAACAAGCCAATTCATTAACACAAGGACTGAACAAAAATAATGTCGGTGGTGATGGGTTAAGACGAGCAATAATACCAATTCGTAAATACGCTGCAAGGTTAGTGAATTAACTTCCTATTTAACAAATTTAATCGATACAATTTTATATTTTATTTAAAAATTACGAAAATTAGTATTTTAAGCACAAATAATAAAATATAAAAAAGTATATATAAAATATAAAAATATATGTAAGTATAAAATATATATAATTTTTAAAAAATTAAATAGAAAAAATTAATGAAGCAAAAAAATTATGAATTTCAATCGGATAATTTAGATTTGAACTTTAAAAAATATTTAGTAAATATAATTGTTTTAAAATAATTAAAATAAAAAATAAATTGTTTTAATCTGAAATTATGTGGAAAAAAAGGTTAAATAATAGCTTTGATTTTCTTAACCTTTAATTTTACTTCTATTTTCTTATAATTCTAAATAATTTTTTAAATAATTAATTTTAACATTTCTTTATGATTAAAAAATTTATTTTTAACCTTATTTTATTTTATTTTAAAAAAAAAAGCTTTATTGATCTCTTCAATTAAATTATTAATTATTGATAATAATTATTTAAAATTATTTTAAATTTTCAATGATAAAATTAAACAATAAAATTATAATTATAATAAAATTAAATTATCGAGAATAATAAAAATAAATATTTATTGAATTAGATAGCATTTACATTAAAACTACAAAATTGCAAAAGGAAGAAAAAAACTGATAAAATCGAAAAAAAACAAAAATAAGCATATGAACCGATAAAAAAAAAGGTCCGTTTTTTATTTTATTTAAGATTTATTTATTTATTTATTTCTAAAAAAATTTTAAATTTTATAATTTAAATTCACAAATTTAAAAAAAATTCACAAATTTTTTTAGTAGAGCGCCAAGTTTTACATCGTTAAAAACACTGAAATCTGGCGATGAATTTCAATTTCTACGCATTCCTGATAGCAATCGTCATATGTTAATGGTTTGTGTGTTTGTTTTTGATCAACTCAACTCATTATATACTCCTCTTAATAGCAATCTGTTCTTCCAGAAACAATAAGCCTCACAATCTGTTCTTCCAGAAACGATAAGTCATAAATTTCGAAACAATGGTCCCATTGTACTTCTTTAACGCCTTTCGTTTATTTATGCTTTTTGCTTCAAAAATTTTCCATCAATTATTTTCACAGTATAAATCATTTACCAATTAAAAATTATTTTAAAAAAATTAATAATTATTAATAAATTAATTAATAAAAATTAAAAAAAAATTAAAGCGATGAAAAATAATAAATTATTTTTCTAGGATCATCAAACGATGAGTAAACGCTTTACAACGACATTTTCACAGCTCAAATTACGTATTCGACGAAATTCTTTCAGTACCGAAAATCAAAAATTAGCCAATGAACAAAAAGTTGAATTATATTGAAAAATTTAAAAAAAAAAAATTAAAATATAAAAATATAAAAATATAAAAAAAATTTTAAAAAATTTCAAAAACTTCTACCACTAAGAAATCAAATCATTTAGGCGACTCGAGTATTAGCCGTCGTTTTTTGTTGTTTCTTCGTTTGTTGGACACCGTTTTTTGCTGCGAATTTCGCAAGCGGATTTTGTGGAGAATCATGCGTTATACCCTCGACACTTGCTTCTTTCTTCTTATGGCTTGGCTATTTTTCGAGTACAATCAATCCAATTATTTATACGATTTTTAATAGGTCAATCGATTTGTGAATCATTTCCATTTATTATTTTTTTAAAATCAATTTAATTTCTAAAAATAGATTCGAAACAAAAATAAAAAATTTAGAAAATTTCGTCAAGCATTTCTGCAAATTATTCGATGTCAATGTTTTTGTAATCAGTTTTCTTCGAAAAGACCACCTTTTTTATATGAAAATACAACCGAGTTAGTTATCGAAATTCATTTTTTTTCATAATTTTAGAAATTTTCTTTTAATATTTTGAAATTTAAGGTTTTGCTAAAAGCTTGAACTTGAAAATATTCAAGCCATCGTTCAAAACCATCAATCAGAAATCACAACCATCATTATTTATAAGAGATTTCCCATTATATCAATCAACCAAAGCTTCATTTCTAAACTCACTTTTTTTATTTTTTGACAACCTTTCAAATTATACTTTAAAAATTATATATTCAGACGAAACTCATCAAAAATAATTGGAAAAGAGGAGAAAAGAAGCAATGAAAAAACTCGAGATGTACAATTAAAACAAAGACCTGACGCGAACCTGTTATTATTGAATCGCGACTACAGTACTCGTATCTCATTAAATTTTCATTATTCCACATCAAGGTTCTTTTTCTAATATTATCTAATATTAATATCTAATTTTAATAATTTTATCAAGAAAAAAAAAGAAGTCTAATTTTAACAAATTAAATTTTAGACGAACGACAAGCATAGTAGCCAACAATACTAACGATCAAAATGATAAGATAACAAAAAGAGAAGCAATTCGCTTAACATCGATGCCTACCATAAGTGATAACCTTTCCTCAATAAGGATATTTTCTTGTGATTTATGTACTTATTCAATGAGAGAAACTTTTCTATGATTGTTATTTTTTAAAAAAAAATATAAAAATAAAAAAGCATTCGAAGCATTTTTATCTAAGAATTTCGATTTGAAAAATTTTAAAATCATCAAAAAATTTTTTTAAAAATTCTTATTTTTTCTAGTTTTTGAAACAAGCACGAAATTTTTAAAAATTTCTTGAAAAAAAAAATTTCTTCATTGCTTAAATTAATTCATATTAATAAACAAAAGGTATCAACTGAATTTAAGAGATGAACTGCCATCTCATGCATCAAGAATTTCTGTCTTTGAAAAAAAATAAACCTGTCATTAAAAAACTGATTAATGCTGGAGAGTAGCCACGTCTGATTAATTCGCCAAGTTCCTAGCAAAATTTCTAATTATATTAAGAGGCGATGACGCGAGCATTTGTCGCGAAAAGTTTTGCATTTTTTCAGAAAGAAGAAAAAAAAACCTAAAACTTAAAACTTTTGAAAGAAGTGACTTGCTTACTCGTCACCAGTTTCACGAATCAGACTTGGAATATACAGCTAGTTGTTTCAATTTACAATTAAACGCATAATTTTCTTTAAAAAATGACAGTATTCTCACAGCTAGGAAATTTACATGCAAAGATATTGCATGTACAGTTGATTTATGATTTTAAGCATGGGAAAACGCTTATTTCAGTTTTTTCGACAACATTATCAGAGATGATAAACGCTAACCATTTACTATTTACTAAACAACAGTCCATGAAATTATTTACTTTTTTTATGAACTAAATTTCTATTATAGGTGAAATAAAAAAATTAGACCGAATAAAGAGAATTAAAGACAAAAATTCTACAATCATTGTCAAAAAAAAAATATTTAAAATATTAAAATAAAATAATTTAATAATTTAATAAATAATTTTTGTCTAATTTCATATTAATTCGATCGGTAGCCACTGTTCATTAAATGAATAGGAAAAAAAAGCGGCGTATTACCCGATGATAAGTACTTTGAACAAAAAAATAGTAATAACCATATAACTGCTAATTTAAATTTAAAAAATTTAAATTTAAAAAAAAAATTTCGAATCGAATAATCGTTATTAATAGTTATCAAAAAATAAAAAATTGAAAATATATATGAGTGTATTTTTACTGAAAAATTTCTCACTAAATTTATACTTTTCCTGAAATTATGTGAAAATAATCTCTTCGAAAAAGAAAATTTAATCATACGTGAAAATCTTTTCACGTATTCATTTCAATAATGTCACAAAAATTTCCTCAAAAACTATAGTTATAGCCAAATTTACGAATAACGAAAGCTTTAAAAAATTAAAGATTTTTCAAAGAAAAATTTTTCCCTAAATTTTCCAATTTTTCTCAAAAAGTACTACTCAAAAAAAGTAACATTGAATAAAAATTTTCATTAATTTCCAAGCAAAACTTAAACTTAAAAAAAAAATCCATTTTTAACAATAATCTATGACAAAAGACATTTAATATATTTTTAATAATCAGTAAAATAATAGTTATTAAATTAACTTTAGAAAGATTTTTATGGCACTAAAAAATTAAGGTTTTTGCGTAAATAAGAAATCCTCTATCTATCGCTATATAATAACCATTTTTAATTTTTCTGTTCATGTCTGCAGATCATACGAAAATTTTCGCAACTATCACAAAATATTCTATAAAGTTTTTTTTATCGCCTGAACGAGTCTCAAGTCTAATTATTAATCCTGGCTAGGAGCAGAGAAACTGGACAAGTTACTGTAGTGATTCGTGTAACTCGGGGCGAAATGGCATAGCGATTGTTATGTCTGACAAGGCCTTAAAAATTATCGAAATTCGGACAGAATAGTCCAAAATTTTAAGATCAATTTAATTTGACAATTGAATAATGTCGCTTATATCTATTCTAATTAATCGTACAAATAACTCCAACAGCCACTCGAATTCTAATTTCAACTGAAAAATAACTGATCCACTTCAGTTGAAATGATACAATTTTATAAATGTTTTTCGTCTTTCGAATAATCAAAAAAGTAACTTTCGATAGGCATCAAAAATATTTAAAAAAATTTTCAAAAAGAATATTTCATTTTTTATTGAAAAAGAAAATTTTTCCAATTATCCTACAATAAATAAAACTTTCAATAATGAACTTTTTTTCAAATATTCTTTTAAAGATTCAAATATTCTTTTATTACGAATTATTTTAAAATTATTTATCTTATTTATCCATTTTAAAAGTTATTACGAATTATAAGATTTATATATATCTTATTTTCTTTAACATAGCACGCCAGCAAATTATGATTTATTTCTCACCAGATAAATTTATGAATAAATTATTTTAGTGCGTTCATTTAGACTTTTTGAGACTTCCGACCATAAAGCATTCCCTACAGTATTCATATTTTAATATTAGAAATCAATAAAATTTTCCCTAATAATTAATAATTGATTCATTTTAAAGAATTAAAAAAAAACTCAATGATAATAACGTTACTACCTTATTACCCTTTCCACATTAATAATTTCAAACATTTAAAAAGTTTCATCGGATGAAAAGCAAATAGTGAATTTTAGGATTAAAAACAAGAAAAATAGAAATGTTAAAACTTCTTATCAATTAGATTTATCAATTAGATACTATGAAAATTTTTAGACAAACTTCAATCGAAAATAAAAAAATTCGAAATTGCATGTAATTCACTAGGTCTTGATGCTAATTACTAATTTCCAATTCAAAATGCATAGAAAACAGTATTTGAAAATTAGAAGAACCAAAAAAAAACATTTAATAAAATCTGCATTTTTTAAAAATAAAAATAGAATGAAAATTAAATTTATTGCAAACGTTTCATTAAAAAATATATACATAACTAACTTGCTAAGTACGAATCCAATGGCTATAACAGCAAAACGTTTGACATCTTGATTGGGATCATTGGCTACGGAAACTAGTAAACGACGAACAATATTTGCCTGGCCCGATCCAGCATATGCCAAAGCCAAGCAACACATTGCTGTTGACCGAAGCATGGCATTCGATTTGTGTTCCACCATTAACTGAGATATGAAACCTTCTGCTTCTTCTTGCCTACCTGAAATTATATTGAATACTTCACAGTAACTAATAATATCTGGATGGATCAAAACCACTTATTTTTTTTGAAGGATAAATTGCGAAAAATATTATCAAAGCCGAAAATAAAAAAAATTTTAATCCTACCATACATAAGAAGAGCAATTCCGCTACGAAGCCCACGCTGTATTTTATCATGCTGCGTGTCACAAATATACTGAACCATTTCTTGGAATGCCCCGCCATGCAAGCCACCAACCATCACCAAACCCATCGCTAATCCAGCAGCTTCTCCAGTTACAGCATCATCTTGGTAAAGACAATCTCGCAGTTGAATATACACCTAAATAACCATCAACTGCCCTACATTAGTTAACAACTATGGATGCAAATTGTTTTAAAAAAACTCAAACATCTTCGTCATGCGTTCCCATTGCCGCCAAACCTAATCCCAGACATGCACCATGTCGGACAGCTGAAGTTGTTGCTCGTTGCAGTTGATCACGCAAATAACCAATCACTTCAGCATTGCCATGATTAGCATGTATTAATCCTGATAATAATAAAAATAACGAATAAGCTCATAAATAATAAAGATATAAAGATATACATATTCTAGATATTCTTTACAAGCACAACTTATCTAGAAAATATCTCTTAGGCGCGTATTGATCTATTTAAGATAAATAGATCGTAAATTGAAAATTTAAGAAAATACCGTAAGCGTAAAGTGAACCACCCTCCTTGAAACCAAACTGGTCCGCTTCACCTTTTGGTAAATACGGTTCTAGAAGTTTTTGAGCATTGGCTTCATGTCCCTTGAAAATAAACATTTGTTTATACATAAATATATTAAACATTTGCGAATGCTATAAAACTAATACCAAAATAATGGCACAAACAATTTAGTTACCTTATGAATAAGACCAAGCGAAGCAACAGCATTAAATTTATTCCAATTTGTCGCCTTACTAATCCAATCCAAATTATCTCTACAAATATATCAAAACATTAAACTGATCTGTAGAATAAAAAAATAAATTTAAATTTAACAATTGATTTAATAATAGGGGTATTAAACTATAAAATTAAATTGAATAAGCGAAACAGTATAAAATTAAATAATCGAAAGATTACCGCAGAAAATCGTCAGTAGTGGTGCCAAGATGCATGAGACCATTAGCAATAACAGTAGCATTGTGGGCAGATGCTGTTCGCACGCTTTCTTTCATTTGTTTCAAAATCAACATATCCGTATGGTTATTTTTGATTAAAAATTGCATATGATGTTTAATAGTTTGTTCACCACAAAGAATTGAGCGTAATCTTTCACGGACTGTATTATCCTTCAAACAAATTTTCGAACTCACTTAATTTTGCACATCAGGGATTAATTTACACTTCATATCACATTTACAATTACATCTTATATTTATATTACATTAATTTAGTTTTAGTTTTAGCTCTTTGTTTTTAGTTTTTCAATTTTTAAAATGCCCATTCCTTCGACGATAGCTGTATAGATAAAAACGATTTTAGTTTTTGAAAAAAAATTTCAGAATGAAAAATAATTATATTATCTAAGAAAAAACTAAAAAAAATCGGACGAATCAAATAAGTAAAAAATATGAAAATATCTTGGTATTAAGATAGCAAAAATGTCAAGATGATTGAATCATTAAAACCAAATTTAAAAATTTCAATCAATTTCTATTTTTATAAAGATTATATTCATTCCTACCATATTCGAAGTAAAGTTTTGAGTCTTCAGGATCGTATCCGAAGATGACTGTACATCAGTACTACTGAAAAATTAATTTAAGAAATCTTTCATATAAATAACTATTTTGTTAATTTTACCTATTACGTCATCCTTTTTTCTTTGCTTCCTTCAAGTAACTTCGAAAATGAAACTTTTAAAACTCGAAAATAAAACTAAAAATTCTAGAACTATTTAAAAAACTGTAAACTGTAAAAAAACCAGACAATGGTTAACTGAAAATTATACTGACTCGCTCATTTCTAATGGTTTGGGAATATTACATGATCCTTCTGGTCCGCAAACAGCTTCAACTAGATCAGTAACCACAGATCTAAAAAATATTTAATATTTACGGATATATGAAATAAATACGTGGATAAAATTTTTTATAAATCGCGAGTTTTCATTATAAGCAATGCGAACCACTCATGAAACTTCATTTTTTCTTATCCTGGCGAGGTTTCGATGAATTTACGGTTTCATATAAAATGAAAATAATAATGTGGGATGTGCTAACTGTTGATCGTCAGTCTGCATTGTTTCAGAAGATGCAAAAACTGTGGGTTCGACAATTAATGCCTTTTCGATTTTATTTATAAACTGTTGAGAAGCGTTTTCATACAAATCAAACGCAATTTGATAAGCAAGTAACAGTCCGTTTCCCTGAAACAACTTTATATATAAACATAATTGTATTCAATAAATAAATTCGACTGAATAAAATTAAAATTACGATTAAGAATTTTACACAAAAAATTCTACGGCCGAATTTTTAGAGCTTCATGGAATTTTAATATTCACCTGGTTCACGACTAGACGATTAAGAATTTCTGCAACGTCATCCGGTTTCTCAAGCTTTATAAGACACTGACACACAGATACAAAATCAGGCTCTTCTAATTCAGAAAAAAGATTTAGCAGTAGGTCCAAAACTTGATTCCTAAAAGTTCTGTTCATTTGAGATTCCAACACTTTCGAGACGGTCTCTGCCAATAAAGCAGCTTGATCTTCAGCTGCCTGAAATAAAATTTTACAAAAATAAAGATACTGCAAAAATTCTGTATTTGGGAAATTCGAAATTTTCCTTACCTATCCAAAGAAGCGATTCCATATTTCTTAATTCATAACCAAAAGTTAAATAAAAACTTTTTTAAATAAGAAATTCAGAAACCTTTATGGCTGCTAAAATCATATCCGTTCTACGGGTATCTAAAGCAAGACCAATGACATATCGCAGTTCCTTTCGCTTCATGTTACGCTCAAAAATGCGGTTAATCAAGGTTTCTAAGCGAGGATCAACTTCATTTCCGGCACATCTATCGGTCATATATGTGTCAAGAGCTTGTTCGATCATTTTATTCACGTACTATAAGAAAGACAATTATCAAAAAAAGCAAAATGACAACTTCACTTCATAATTAAAAAACTCACTTGTTCATCCTGATATCCAACATATGGCGACATAGGTCGTGGAGTTAACTTAAATTCATCTTCCGCCGCCAAAGCCAAATTCAAAGCACCACTGTAATCACCTAGGCAATAAGCTACCTGAAAAATTTCGCCTTTTATAGCGAACAGAATATACTTATTCTTGAATTACCTAGCAAATATTAACTGCTCAAATTAATACTAGCTGAAAATACAATTTTTTTCGATAATTATTGCAATAATTATCTTTACAAGAAAAAATCAATCCGCCAAAAATTTCAAAAAGTAAACAAATTAATTAATCTATGAAAATAAATGACAACCTTAGACGCCAAAAGAGCGGCGATATGTCGTCGTTCAAATTTTTCATTCTCATAAAGCTTTTCAATAACATCCAGATAATCAGCAACTTCAAACCACGTTGAAGTTAAAATATCCCAATCGTCAAATGCCCGAATGATCATTTCTTTTTCCCGTATTGGTGTATATTCACTAGATAAAGCCAGCAAAAACGCAGCTGAAAACAACTACATAAAATAAAGTAAGAAAAAATTATATGAAAAATAAAGTGAAGTTTGGACAATAAAATTCTCAAATCCTATAAAAATATTTATAAACCAAAATATTAGAAAGAAAATGAAAAAACAAAATCGACTTACAAGCATTCATAGGCCCACCAGGACGTTTCTTCCAACGATTCAACAGATACAACGCCATTAAGACTTCTGAAAGATTAATGATCATACTGATATAACCGAAACCACAATAATTCATAACGGTCAACATTATGGATTAAAGCAGATCCCAAGCACAATACGAATTCCACGTTTAACACTCGCCCTCACCAAAACACAGAAAACAAACTCATGAATTACAAACTCCGGGTACATACTAAAACCCAAATAATTATGAATCTAATATTAAAAAAAAAAGGGAAATGAAGCTCCTTCTAGACGGTAAGCGTTTATTATTATCTCAAATATTTTAGAAATATGTATTAGAAATAAAACAGATTTTCAACATAAAAAAAGAAACAATAATTTTTATTTAAAATAACAATAAGATTAAAGTGCAACAATTGAGAATTAAAACAATTTAAAACAAAATTTCAATAAAAAAATTCAAATCCAAATGTTTTAAAAATATTCATAATAGTCCTTCACAATAATTCTTAGAGAACCAATAGGTTTTCCGATTTATACAATCCCCTTTCGTAAATAATCTTTCATTGCTCCCCAAAAACAATTGTTTTAAAATTTGAAATTAAAACTAATTAAACTAAACAAAAAAATTAATAAATTGAGCAAACTGCAAAATTATTAAAATAAAAAACAAGAAACAATCAAAGAATACGGGAAGAATTTACAAAACCGAACAAAAACAATGTAATACCATGAGAGATACAACAATTGACAATGACAATGAAATACAAAACGTTCGATAATTATGTAACTACTAACTGCTTAGCTTTTAACACTGCAGGCACTGAAGTTGGAGGTAACGAACGTATTTCCGTAATTATTGCTGTTATTCTTTCCGCTGGTATTCTTTCATATTTATCATCCACCAAAGCATAATTATTATCGTCATAAAATGAGAAATATCTCACCTATGAAGAAATGTAATTATTTTTTTTAATTTTTCTAATTTATTCATAGAATTCATCTATTTATTAAAACTAAAGACTAAAATTAAAGTTTTAAAACATTTACAATAACCCATAAACTATTATTTAATATTATTTATTTAATAATAATATTATTTAAATTTCTATAAAAATATTTATATTTATATTACATTATATTACATTATATTACAATATTACAATATTACAATTTATATTACAATATTTTTCTAACCTTATCAACAAATTTATAGCTTTGTGCAACAACAATAACAGGAATATTATCGAATGCTCCATGCATTGCCAATATACCAGCACCTAACTCTGCCATTATTGAACCATCAGAAAACACTGCTGAACAACCCAATAAAATCAATTGGCACTGAAATTTATAATATAAATTACAAAGTATAAAAAGAGTTTGGTCAAAAACTTAGAATAAAAGCGATAAAATAAACCTTTTTGATCAAATATCCAGCAGCATTCACCAAACCATATGTATGATTTCTTTCCATATCATTGAGAAGTTTGACCAAATGTCTACCTCAAATTCAATCAAGAAAAAAATTTGCAGCAAATTCTTTAATAACGACAAAGCAAAACCTACTATACCATTGGCAATTATATAACAAAGGTAAATAAAATGTTTAATAAGTAAGTTTGAAAATTTGAAAATGATAAATTCAGAAATAAATAACTCATTGGAAATATTAAGAAATACAATAAAGCAAGGTTATACCTCTTCTGGTAATAGTTGAATCCAAAATACAAACTTGAAAATTAAGACCCTTCTTATAAGCTTCAAGAATAACATGCTGTACAACTGGGCACCTAAAAATTATCAAATTTTTATTCCCAGTAAATTCAGATCAGATAAAAATAATATAAAAAATTTAAAAAATAGAAAATAGAAAATAAAAAGTAGAAAAAATAGAAAAAAATATTTAAAAAGTCAAACCAAGAATATATCAGTATAACAGGGAAATTAGCAATTTTTTCAATGCATAACGATGCAATTGATTCTAAAGCTAAGTTAAAGTTTTGTGAAATGAATAAATCGAGCCATTCGAATAAATATTTTTTACCCTGTAATAATTTGATTTTAAAAAATATTAGAAAAAAAATTACGACAAAAATATGACATAATAATATGACATATGACTATGTGACATATGATATGACATAATAAATTCTTGAACAGCTAAATAATATACAAAGAAATTTGGCATCATCATTGCAAAACGAATTTGAATCGTTGAAAAAGGTTTTTAAAAAAAAAAGGATTTGAAAAAAAGAAAAAATAACTGGACAGACAAAAGATACTTCAGATTCCGTCGTATTATCTGGAAGATCTTGTATTTCCTTTTTCAGCTGACGAATAACATTCCCTAGTGCATATGGAAATTCCTTAGTCCCGTCCAGTGTTAAATAACTGCAATATTAGAAATGAAATAAAAATCATAAAATAGAATTAAAATTAAAAGCAAATTTTCAATGTCGATTGATATCAATCATTAATCACTTTTCTAGCACAAAATTTTATTAAATGAAGATCCAAACTTTAGATGCGGTTTAATTGCATGATCGAGATCTTGAGATATTTTACGCTCGACATTCAATTTGTAATCGTGTAGAAACTGAAATTTGTAATGCAATGTTGTATACTACAATATTATTCAATTTAGTTAGAATAAGAAAAAAAAGTTACGTTACTGAATTATTACTGAATTACTTTCATCGGTTATATAATAAGTATAAAAAACAACAAAAAAATAGTGTATAAAATACAAAATGGTTTGAAAAATGTTAATTCAAATTTATTAAAACGATGAGGAGATAAAACAGAATTTAAAAAAAAAAAAAATAAATCCACTAAATATTAATTATTAGAAATTGATATTGCAAATAAAAAATTACTTCTTTAAATGCAGCTATAAAAGCAACACAAACGGCATCGACTCCATTAAGCATCTTTGCTTCACATCTATAATAAAAATAAAATAAACATCCAAAAGTAATTTCATACTAGCTTTGGATAATTTTCATATTGTTTCCGCCTTAATATGCATATACATGATAAAAAATTCCATTAAGAGTGAAGAAAGAAACGGAAAGAAACATACTTATCAGATAAAGCTAGGAAAGCGGGATGAATGCCTTTCGCCAATTCTTTTATAGACGGTACTACTGTAAGCTCATGTTCATCGACAAACGAAGGAGAATGAGCTAAAAAAATTGAAAAATATGTTTGGTTTATATAAGCTTTGAGTGTATTTCAATTTTAATAAATAAAAAAATTTGGAGTATGTGGTAAAGTTTATTTAAATAAATCAATTATATAATAAATTATTAATCACGCAAATAAATCAAAAAACACGTGGGTGGAATCGGCAAGAAGATTTATAATTTTCTATTAGAATTTGCGTTTTTCGATTCTTGTTTAAAAAACCCAGATATACTTTCCCTTTGTATTCTGTTATAAACCTTTTTAAATCTCGTTAAAGTTCCCTTAAAACCTGTTGCTTCTTCGTTACCTCACGCTCTCGCCATAATATCTTAGTAATCTTGAACCACTTCCATACTCCAGTAATCTGCACAAAAAATTTTTGTTCTATACCACTGTTATCATCTTAAAATCCATTACACCCTAACACCAACTCACAATATCTAGTTTGTGTCTGCTGTATTCTTTTGCAATAATTCCTAATCTTTCCTTAAACTATCTTCAAAGTTATTACAGCCTCTTACAATTTACTCCAAATTTCACCACATCTCTATTATCTTTCTATTATCTTTGTGAACCTCAAAGTTATTGTCAAAACCACCATACTTTTTTTCTAATTTTTCTCCTGTCAATCTGATCTTGATGTAACAGATAGCAATTTCATATAAAAATGAATATAATGAAGGGATCGAAGCTAGTGGTAAAATAATGGAGATTTGGAATGTGAATAACGGAATTGTTAAAACAGATCTGAAGAGATGTTAAGGAATATAAGATATAAACATATAGAAAAATCCTCTTTCCACTCCTGTGGGTCTACCCTCGACCTCGTGCTCTCTGAAAAATGCATTTTATAAATAAATATCATACATCCCATAAAATATCTATATCTCCTGTTAACGCAATAATCCAAGAATCCCCTTATTTATATTCTAAATCTCTATTATATTACCATTGACTCTCTTCACTGAAATACTTGCAACTGGAGAAGTGGCTTCACCAGGTTCTGGGAACAACAGAGATCTCTATCCAGAAGAGCGCACTGCAAAGAAAAGATACCCCGCAAAACTCTTAATCTCCCAAGCCTTTGGTAAAGAACTCGAGATTGAAGATGACTCTTACCACTGATACGGTGCAAAGATATTTTTTTAAATACAAATGCATACATTTGGCCCCAATTACATATTAAATTTAAAAATTGTACCTATATAAAAAATTATCTTTCTTAGTTATCTCAGTTAAAAAACTCAATCATTATGGTCTGCATCTCCCTCATTCACTAAAAACCAAAACGCATTAGCCCTAGCGCGCAGGATCTGACGAAAATCTAACCAAAATGTACACGTTTGTAAGGACGCAAAGCACTAGAGGATCTCTTGATCATAGCCGTTTTCAATATTTTGTTACCAAATGTTTTATCCACTTTAGCCATAGCTAATTTCGATATGAATTTGTGATCTCCTTCTGCTTCATCTGTACGCAATTCTGCTTGCTCCTTTTCTTTCGATGTGACCATACTTTTTCCTGCATGTTTCCCTTCTTTCAAGCTTTTTTCTTCATTCGGCGAAGTATGTGGTTGCATATTCAGTTCTTTATTTTTTTTCATCTCTGCTGCAGCAGCTATAAAAAAAAGATTGAAAACCCACTAATATGAAAAAAAATTATAATTTTAAAAAATTATAATAATATAGAATTACAATTATATAATAATATAGAAAAATTTTCAAAAAATATTTCGAAATCGGCACAGACTGCATTCAATTTATAAAAGAATTTCAAACCAATAATTGAAATCTCTAATATATGGATTTTCGAAAAATGAATTCGCCCATGATTTATTGCAATACATACCTTTCCTTGCCTTCGCCTCAGCTGCCTTTGCCTTCCTTTGCGTGCGAATTTCATTTTTACTCATAGCAGAATCCATTGGTTTAGTGGATAAAAATTTCGAACCATTATTATTTATTTGCAGCTCTTTTAAATTATTCGACAATTCTGTGATATTAACATTCTGCTGAAAAAAATGAATTGGATAAAACGCTAGCTGATAGGCATTAAAAGCATTCAAAGCTGTCAAGCTTTCAAATGAAATTCGCACTTCTTTTTAAGCTATTAAAATTTTGAAATTCAACAAAATTTTAAAAAAACAAAAATAAATAATCAAATTTGAAATTTAAGTCATTTACATTATAACATTTTTAGCAATAATAGGAATTTAAACTCATATAAAATCTAAATCATTATACATTATAATAATTATTTAATAAACGAAAAACAAATTCGAAATTACTGGCCAAAATATAAACCCATGAAAAAAGCCATTAATTACAAAATAATGGCTTGAAATATGTTACACTTACACATGTGATGCCATTCAATTTCAGTAAATTCAAATGTAGGCTTAAACATTCGATAACCAAATTAAAAATATCGATAAAATTTGCGGTTAATGAAGTATGCAACGTGCTGGACATCATGAATTCCATCTGAAGTATGTGCCCTATCATCCGAAAAGAAAAAAACCAAGAGGAAAATACCACGAACATAGAAAATACGTAAAAATTCGGTACTTTTCGGTTACATGGACAGCACCAACAAGAAATGCCATATTTTCGCATATATATCTTATTTCTTTTTTTTTATTTTTTCATTCCTCCAAATTGCCACAATATTTACCAGGAATTCACAATTTCTAATTTCTAAAAACCACTGCTGGTTAGATTCTTTCCAATGGTTTGTCCGATTAAAGAAATTTTGCCAGAAAATTAATTGGCGATAGAAATACAAGTGGATCACTAACACCATCCGGATTTTTTGAAACGTTTAGACAAATTTACTTCTCCCAGGCACAGGATCGAAGCATCAGCGCGTTTTAAGTAATAACCCACTGAGCCACTCGACTCGTTTCTGATTTTTTACTTAATCCGTCCTTTATTTACATTCTTATCTTCTTCCATCTTTCCTGATTGCTTCGCCATATGTTTATTCTCTTACCAATAACTGCTGCCCATGTAATCAGAAAGTGCATTAATACTGATGCCTCTACGCCCTGATCATTAAATAAAAAAAAAACTAATCAAATTAAGAATGAAATAACCATTACTTCTCTCAAACAATATATCATTATTCGATTTAAAAAACTGGACTAACCGGACATTACGTACGACTAGGAATAACGTACGACTAGTCATCATTTTATTAACTGGCTCATAGCTTTTTTCTTCTTTTCTACTGACTTTTCTACTTATTAAGTTACAGTTGAAAGTTTTAATTCCATATATTTCATCGCAAACAATTTAGGAATAAATCTGCACAAACTGCATTGAATCAATTCAAAAAATCATAGAGCTAAAGAGAAACAATTCTTTATAAATACTTTTAAAATCAAACTTTCAACTGCAGTAAATTATATTTCTTTTAAACCAGTTTTCAAAAAAAGAATTTTTTTATAAATTCTAATTAATTTTTTTTTTAAACTATTGAAGAAGAATTTACAATACAAATAACATATTTAAGTTAATAATTTAATTAAAATATAACACGAACAATACTGGAAGACGACGAAGGCTCATCATCCGTAAACGTATCAGTGGACTTAATACTGACTTTCACCCGTTGCTGCTTTTTTTCGTTACGATCCATAATTTGAAAATCCAAGATATTCCAAAAAAGTAAAACCTGGAAACTGAAAAATTTATCCTTTCATTTTAAAAATAAAATCTATTTTAAAAAGTTTTATAAAATAAGAATTCGTTTACAAACATCGAAAAAATATATATTTAAAATATTGAAAATTTTTCGTAATTTTTCGTAAACTCGAAAGCAAAGTAGTCGAACAAAAAAAAGAAAAAACATAAGATTTTGTGAGGAAAATTTTTTAAAAAATTTCAAAATAAACTTACATAAATAAATAAATAAATTTCAAAATAAATTATGAAAAATGAAAAAGAAAATTCAAATTTTTGCAATTTTTTTTAGTTTTTTTCTTATCGAACAAATTAAATTAAAATGAATTATAAAGCAAAAAAAAACTTGAAAATTTTTGACAAAAAACTGGAAAGAAATAAAAGCGAAAAACGAAAATGTAATTATCACAATACCAAAAAAAATGAATCTATTCTGCACAATAAAAACAATTCCAAAATTTCGATCAGTCGAAATGAAACCAAGTTAGACCAATTCATCGACACAACTCAGTTTCTCGATCAACCAGTTCGACCGTCCTACCAAACTGACCCAAACGGTCCAACAACTCAGGCCAATTTACTAAGGAACACACGGAACTAAAAACGCTACGCTCTTTAAAAATCAAATTTCCTTCAGCTATTGTAGTACTACTGAATTCAAACTATCTTGCTATTACTCTATTTATATCTTACAGCGCAATATAATTTTCTGTATCAATTTAATGAGGTAAATTTCTCTACAATATTTATGTGATATTAAGTATATTATAATTTGCACTGTTTGACATAAAGGTAAGTGCCACCGTATCTTCGAATTGCGGGATTATCTACCCTAAAAATTAGACCTTTTCCAGTACCAATTGAACAGTCAATTAACATTGTCCTTTTATTCGAGCACCACGAGGTTATTCACTTATAAGTCTTTTTTTTCTACTTGTTGGTAACAATAGCACCTCTATAAAACTCTCATTACTTCATTACTTTAGTCTCCCCGCAGATCCACTTATCATATGAATACCGTACAATTCCTGAACATATTTACCCAAGATTCACTCACAAGCATTCTTTTTACAAGAGCGTTTGGACAAAGGAAGTCCCTCTAGCATTTAGCAGGAAAAGTCATAAGTGATAAATAAAGTGTTAAAAGAAGAATAAAATACGAAGTGCACATTTTATCTCTTTGGAGTATGGTACTTCGGCTGAGGCCAACAACCTAAAATCGAGAAGATGCTGTAGGCTCATCTGTAATCCTTCCATCAGCTAATTCTCTAGCGAGTGGACTAGTGCACTTTAATAGAAGTAAAATGAAGTACGAACCTACTAACTTTTGCGTTACTTGTATTACTTTACTTATCGTAGCATCTAAAGCAAATATAACTCAAGAAACGGCCAGCGAAATAATACGGAATAGTAATACGGAATAGTGCCTGTAAAAAATCGCCTAATAAGGTGGAAGGAATTGTTTGAGGCTAAAATTAACCACGATGCGCCATCCCGAATATAGCTGATTCATTCGTCGAGCCATAAGATTAAAACTGCGAACCGCCAACAGAAGAGGAAATAATCTCTGTAATTCATAAGTTTAAGGCCAATAAAACTAGAAGAGAAGATGAGAAGATCTTCAAGCCGAATCGCTCATCGTTCTTAAATTACCTTCAACAAATACTCTATGTTATGGAAGAAAGAAATAATACCAGACAGCAGCAAAATAATTCTGATCCCAATTCTTATATGCACTCACTCATTCATATATGCACTTTAAGAAATATCTGCAACCCATTATTTATTTTGTCGATTTTTCAAACACCTTCGATTTGATTTATAGAGCAACGCCCTCGAAAGTGGTGGAATATGATGGTATTCGAGAGATCATTCGACTCATGAAGGCATTTTATTAGCGTGCGTCGGCACAGATCTGTGTATATGTGGAATTGGCTAACTCCATAGAAATAAAATTGGTATCTGCCAAAGCTATATCCTTTCCTCTTTACTATTCAACTATGCGATAGACTGGATAATGTACACTGCTTGTCGGCACTCAAGAGGTGTCCAAATCAGTCCAGAACATCGTATCACAGATCTTGAATACGCTGGCGATGTAGTCCTTTTTACTAACAGTTACGACGAAATGCAAACAATGCTAAACAATTTGTCGACAAAGTGCAGTGAGAATCGAACTCAGAATGTAATTAAAACGAAAGTTTTTTGAACTTGCATATAATAAGCTGATAAAACACAATATCTATTTACTTCACCAATTCACTGCCGGTTCATAAAATATGGCGTTGAATATCTTGGATCTACTCTATTGCCAAACGGCCAACGCCAAACGAAAGACGACATTACAATCCGGATAACGGTAGCTAAATGCGTTCTTCAGCCTGACGAAGTCTTCGTGGAACCGTCACGAAGTCACCATAAAAGTGAAAGCTCTAATTAGTTGCAGGAAAAATCTGACGTGATTTTCGTTCAAATACCGCATTAACAGTACCATCAGTGTCGCCTTCAATGGCTAGGGAAAGTTCTTTGTCGTCGACCACAGGAGTTGACACATTTTATTGCTTACTAAACCCTGCGATGCAAAAACGAAGAGAGTCAATCAAGACCTGGATTGCAATAAGTAAAGATTTTTAGCAATGATATATGGACTTAGACGATGGAAAAAGAAATGGCTTCTATTACTGTCAACGATAACATCGCACCGAACAGCTTGAAGATACTTGTAGCCAGCAGAGCCGGTCTAATTAGTAGTGGTGAGAGCTGCTTGAAGAAGAAAGAGAATACGAATGTTGAAAATTTTAATCATATGTATGATATATGATCATATTTCAGTTACTCATTTTATACTCGAATTAAATGAATTAATGACTTAATGATGGCAAAAAAAAGAAGCTTAAAAATTAATGATCCATATTTATCATTTAGGAACCAAACTCTGAGTTTCTCTTAAAAAATCATAGGGTGACGTCGAAGTCCCCTTTACCCCTGTGGGTAGTAAACCGAACAATCATAGTTTAGTGAGCTACTGAAAATCATTATTATTACTTTTCTAGGGTGGTGTTCTATCGATTATATAAATTTTATTACTCATTTTGCTCGTAAAATTTTTTTTAAAAAATTATTCTTTTGAGCTGTGAATAGTCTAAAAATTGTTAATTGGAATATAGATGCCTTTTTCTTTCCTTTAATTGGATTATAGGCTTATTGAAAATATAATTTATTTAAGTGATCAATGTTTCTGCTTCCATTATTTATTGTTATTAATTTGTCAGAAATATGGATTTCCTTTGATACAACTAAAATCTACCATTTGTTCCCATAACTGAATAGCATATTTCAAATTTCAACAAGAAATAAGTGGAAATATTAGTGGAGATGTGAACTATCCTCAAGCAGCTCCTGAAAAATTTATTCATGAACCACTAAGAAGTCCATGGAGCACAGAAACTAAGGAACTTTATCATAAACTTTTATAAAACTAACAAGAATTTCATGAATTTTTTTCAAAAAAAATTTCTACTAAATAGCTTTTTATTTTTTAATTATTTCGAAAAAGCTTGAATTAAATAAATAAATAAATAAATAAAAAAGTAGCATGAAGCAATAATAAAGATAAAAAGAAGAAGCACCTAATTACAAATAAGCTTCAAGATTCATCAATGTATGGATTTATTTATTAATCACAGAAAATATCTTGGAAGAATTTATCAATTACAAACAAATTTTATCATTTCTCATTGTAAATTCACAACAATAACTATCAATATTCTGGCTAAATTGATAAGCCAGCAATAAATTTCAATAATTTTATAGATTTAGCGAACACCAGTAGTCGACTGCTTATCGCCCGGTTGATGCCATAGAAAACAATAATCCCTGCTCATTTGCATATCAGCCAATTCGATATCATATTACAGTAATCTTTTTCCTGTTGTCACTGCTATCACAGTTTCCGTCATTTTACCTCCACTTTTATTCTTCCCACACGAATCACGATTCAATGGGACTGTGGACATTTTTGATAGCCTACGACTTTTGTTCTTATTTTTTAGATGTTGTGGTATTAAGGCCACGAATGCTGCACGTAACTGAGGATTCATTAAAGCATATAACAATGGATTCCATACCTGAATTTAATTAACTCATTAAATAATTTAGCTATATTAAAACTTCGAGAAATTTCCTCCCACAAATCCAGATTTTCAGCAAAGAATGAAACGGAATTGTCATGAAAAAAATAAACAATGAAAAATACTGTCCCCAAATACTGTCAATAATAGCGTCGTACCGATCAGTTCGAGGAGGTTTTACGTTTGCAGCCAGCAGAATTAGAAGATAAAATAGCCAGTAGCGGTGAGAGTTAGAAGAAATAAGGCATCGATTAATGTATTGCTGTATTTTGGAGGTTTTATCTATACAATTCATTTTGAAAATTACAAAAAATAAAATCGACTTCAAGCTCGACGAGTTTGATGAATTCTTATAAATTATTTTGCAGAGCGCAGTAAGAAGACAGCAAACAACAACGAAAGCTTTCCAGGTCTTCCCAACTCAAATGCTTAGAGATTTTAAAGATTCTGCAAAATCTATCTATTTTTACCGTTGATGTCATCGCTATGCAATGTGTTCCAATTCCAAAAAAATATTCTTGTTTTATAATCCAATTCGGTAGGCGATTATAATCGCGAAGCACATTAAATAAAACACTTGAAAACCAACTGGTTGAAAATGCAACAACCATTGCTATAAGCATTCGATTTGTACGTTGTTTTCGTTTAAGTGCTGCACTTTGCTAAAAAAAAAAACCATTAAAAAATCCAAAAATAAGATATATTTTCCTGCTTTTCCATTTTTAATATATTTAGGCAACTTTAGACAGTCATTTGTTCGATTGACTATTGAGAAGAAACCCCGACAGCCATGAAAGTATAAGGGGCATTGCCAGCACAGTTCGGTTCTTATTTTTTAGCTCTAGCTAAGAGAAAAGGACATAATCTACAATGGCTCGATCTTAGCTGAAACAACCTTAAGTTGTTCGACTTTAAATTTTTAAATAATATTTAATTTAATTCAAGCAATAAGCATGCAAAAACTCGTTTGATTTCATTTAGTATTCAGATTAAAAGATTTCTTTAAAAATTGCCAGATGTTTTTTAAAGCGACATATTTTATATTTCAATGCTATTTCAAAAACTTATAGAATTTTTTGAATTTTTATCATACTTTATGAGAAGAAAGTAGTATTCGAATTGTTTTTAAATCCAATATTAATATTAGTTTAAAATTCAAGTTGATAAGGCTTGGAAGTTTTCGATAATCTTGAACTTAATTATTAAAAATATAATTATTAAATATATAAATCATATTTTTAAGATTTCGAGAATAAATAATGTTAAAATTGAATAAATTTTTGAAAATTATTTATTCTACTAACGCGATCGCCTTTATCCATTTGCCATTCGTAGTAATGTCGTTTCGTTTTAAGAATCAAACTCTATAATTATCATTATTGTTATCATTACTATTAGCATATTTAAGAATAGAGATTGGACTGAGACGATGGAAAAAAGAATGGCTTCCATTACTGTCAGCTATGGTGGCATCGCTTGAATATGTCTTACCATTGCAGCCGGCGCAAGCAGCTTAACATAATGGTGAGAGATGATGAAAAAAAAAGAAGAGATTGGATGGAATACAATTTGTCCAAAATAAACAAAACCAAAAAGATATAAGAACCGGAACCCGCGAAATTTTCGTTTTTTTTTTAGATATCTCATGTAATAATAACGAAGTAGAATTTTTTTATAGAAAAAGAAAAGGAAGAAAAAGACAAAAGTTATTTTATTTTAAAAAACACCTGTCCAAGCTTGACAGATATCGCCGTATAACAAAAAATTATAATGATAAGAGGCACTGCAAATTGAACGCCGACCATTACTGAACCATAAACGCGTCTTCCATTTTCATCACCATTCCATTCTTCGATACAAAATTTTCCGCAAAAATTTCTAATTGAACGCAAACTTTGTTTCAGCATGATTGGCGCCGAAAGCGACATAGCAGAAATACAAATTACCTTAAAATAAAAATCCTTGGATTAACTGCAACAACATGTAGCAATGCAATCAATTAGATCTAGAAAACCTAGGATTCTATTATAAATAATCAAACGTATTTATCTATCCTTTTTGCCCGACAAAAGATTCTCAATCATATATTTAGTTCTTCAGCTATCTTACCTATCTAACAGCACTTACCATTTCTAACTTGGCTTGCTCCACTAGCTATTAGGATGACAAATCTTCGCCAATTCGGATTAGAAGTAAGTACTTATAGATTTATCAAAATCGCAATAATTAGTGGAAGCTAAGCCAGATTTCGCATCATGTTTGAAAAAGAAGTCATTTCTAGGCAATTTTTTTTTTTAATTTGTTAAGATTCATATCGCATTTTTATTTTTTATCTAGATGCGATAATGTATCATTTATTTACTGATTCAGAGGACAGATAATTTATAACTGATAGCCGTATTGGGCTGCAATATGATAACATAATGATTATGATTTGTATTATGTGAAGATTAGTTCAAATCTTCCTGAACCAAAGTCAGCTAATTTGATTGGGCCTTCAGCCAGAATCTGCTAAAGATGCATCAGATTACCTCAATCCACGAGAATTCGAGAATTCCAGGATTGTAATTGTGATTTACGAGTGCGTTGTTGTTTTAAGAAATTATTTTATTTTATATTTTTAACTATATATTTGCTAAAAATCGAATTAAATTAAATTAAATATTTTTAGAATTGTTCATTATCTTTTTAAGAAATTGAATGGAATGCAATTGAATGAAAAATAAAATTTAAGGAAAATGAGAGAGAAATTTGAAGGAAAACACCAATTACCGCTATGACAACAACAGCTCGAGCTTTTGTTAAAAGCGATCGAGTTGGAAAATAAATTAGAAAGAAGCGATCAATTGAGATTGCCGTAAGCGTAAAAGTCGAAAAACATAGCGATGTACCCTGAAATAAAAATTATTATTGAATTTAATTAATTAAAAAGAAGAGATTTTAAAGAAAAGCATTATAAATATAATTTACTTAATGAATTCTTCTTCTTCTAAAACAGAAATTATTTCGTTCTTCTTGTTCTAAATTAAAATTCACCAAAGCATTTATCACTTCTGATTTGGCTTTCTATTAGGATAAAATCCTTTTGGCAGAGAGCCATTGGAGAATAGAAGTGCAATCGCGTGGATTTCACTTTAACTCGAGTGTCGGACTCCCATCAGTGGATAGGAATCCAGTCTTAGTCGAAGAAATTCGACACTCTATTTTTGAACTAACTTTTTGATGCAATACTGAATTGAATTGAATAAAAATATGCAAATATGTAAATTAATTTGAGGGAAAAATATGAAAATAAAAACAACTAATGAGTGAATGTTTACCAAGAGCCAAAGGAAAAAGAAACGCATATAGGATTTATGCTGGGAGATTAAGTTTTAGAAGTTTTATTGACACATACTGCAATAAAAGGAGCTACTGAACACAGAGTTGCGCCAAATATCCATATTTTCTTAAATGCTGTAATTGGCGTTATAGTCGCTGATGTACAACAAACCATTAAATCGGAACAACTTAAGGCAAAAATAAAAAAATTTGGAACTATTTGAAGACTCCTGTAAAAATATATATATGAAAATATAAATGAATTGTTTATTTCGATAAGCTATTTTAAAAATTCTTTTATATAATTTTTCTATATTTCTTTATAATAATAATAATTCTTTCATATAATTATTTTATTTATTCTAATTATTTTTTATTCTCTTAGATTGTTTTTCGAAATTTTTTTCGAAAAGCTTTTCTGGAAAATTATTCAAGCGAATATTTTCTTGGATAATAATAATCAAGAATTAGATTATAATTTCCTATAATATTAAAGAAAACACGACAAAAAAATATTTGTTAATTTATTTAGCAATTTTGAGATATAATTATAATTGACAAACCTTGTCCTTGAAATTGCAAGTATAACGCATAGATTACCAAGTATACCAACAATAATAATCGTTGTATAAAAAAGCGCGAAAATAACGACAGTAATAGAATGTAAAGTTAAATCATCGCTTCGTCGAGAGAGTTCATGATTTATATCCAAACAGGTTTCATTACTCATCGTCGATCGAACAACCTCAATTAGAATAAATTATTAGAATATTCTAGGAGAAAAATTTATACCGTCAACGAAAAGAAATAGCTTGTTTGTTATCGAAAAAAATATATGAGCTCCAATAATTACAATGTAAAAGTAACGAAAGACTTTTCGTTTTATATACAAAAAGCTGATAAAATGACTCTTTTTATAGATTCATTGCTGATAGTGGAAGTGCCCGATTTTAAATACCTTGGATCCACTCTAATAAACGGGAAAAACGATATTATAACAGGGGTAATGACAGTTAGAAATGCCGTTCTTCCGGTTGACGAAATCTTTATGTGGCCGTCGCGAGATCAACACAAAAACGAAAGTCCATGTCAATATAGCCGCGAATCGTTTAGCATTGCCATATGGCTGAAAGGCCATGTGGAGAATATTAAGAAGTTATTTGACAATTTTTGTCGAAAATATTTTATGAGCTCGATGAGAGTAAAATCTCATATGATCCATCATCGCTCAAAGGCCACTTGCATTAACAGTACCATCATGATTATCCCCTTCGCTGGTTAGGCACACATCTCCGTCGTCTACCACAGGAGTTGACGCATATTTCGTTATCTGATAAACCGTATGACGGTTGGCGTCAAAAGTGAGGGTAAGTCGTTCAAATCCTGGACTAATACAAGATTTTGAACGTGTAGATGGACCATTGATATATGGACTTAGACGATGGAAAAAGAAATAACTTCTATTATTGTTAGCGATGGCAGCAGATTGCGCAGCTCACGAATGCCCTACCTTTGTAGCCAGCGGAGTCTAACCAGTAATGGTGAGAGCTGTTAGAAGAAGAAGGAAGAATTGCAATAAAAATTTTAAAAAATTATTTCAACTTTCAATTTTAAAAATTTTATTTATAGCAGTGCATACTTATTTACAGCATAAATCAGAATCACAAGTTTAGAATTGGTGAAACTTGAAATGTAATAGTAATTGATGACCGATGCGCCTTTGAGAAACCCTCGTGAAACATTTCACCGAAACTTCTACGACATTTGGACTTATTCGATAGATTGGATGCAAAATTAATATTCAATTGCCCTCATAAAATTGGACATTTAAAGAATTTGATAACGATTTTAATATAATAAAATTTTTTAACTCAATTATTAAATGATTATAAAAAATTATAAATAATTAAATTTTTATTATAAATAATAAAAATAAATAAAAATTATAATAAATTATTATATAAGAAAATTATTCGAATAAAATAGTTCATTGTTAAAATAAATCACAAATAAAAAAAAATTTAAATAATTTTTTATTTAAAATAATTTTAAATAAAAAATTAAATAGATTTAAATATGAATAAATAATGAATGAACAATGATAAAATTTAAAAATTAAAGCCATAAATTATGTTTTGAAAGATTGTTTGTCGTAAAAGTTTGATTTAAAATAAAATAAACAAATAAAACAAGCGAATTATCAGGAAAACGAATATTAAATGTTTCCTGCAACAATTTCAGTAATGCAACTCTAACGATAGAGTTGATTACATTTAATTTATTTATTCAATAAAAATTGCTGATTTCGCTCTATAAATTTTAGGATTTTAATTTTAAAAAGGCAATTTTATAAATTTGGATGAGAAAAACCATTTTTCACTGATGTTGAAATTATAATTTTTTAAGAGCACTCATCATCGCTAGTGAAATTCGCTCCGCTAGTTAGACAAATATGCTAGAAAGTCTCCTCAGTGATAGAAGTACAGGACAGCATTTTTGAATGCCAGGTTTAATGCTGCCGAGAACTGGATCTCAGCACCAACGCCTCAAACTGAGAAATTCTCTATTCTCTTTTGCTCTACGTTGCTACGTTGAGCTGCCATCCGATAAAGCGTGGTCTATTAGCTGGATTCAAACCTCGATTTATTTCATTCATTGGAAGAAAGGGAAAGAGATCTCAGAAATGATATAAAAACAAAAAAATCTTTCTGGACAACTATTCAAAGCAATGTCACTTGACGGTCTACGTTAGTAATACAAAGTTTCATCGTCACTAGCCAATATCGTAAGCTAAATAAAATGCAATGCCTTCAAATTCTGGTTCAATTAATATGATTTGCTGATTCAAGTATTGATTCAGCAAATAAACATGGAGAAACATAGGCCGATAGGCCGATGAAGGCGACATGAACTTTTTTCTTCTAGTGGAATTCACCATTCCTAATTTGGCTTTACTTATTTTAAATATAATTTGCTCTCATCATACGTTACTTTGAAGATTTGGTGATCTCCAATTCTAATCTATTTTGTTTTATTTTTAATGAAAATATAGAGAAAGCAGTTAAAAATTTTATACTTTGCGCATACTTGGAAAATAAACTTTATTAAACTGATAATGCAATATAAATCCCGAATATAAAGCGAATACTATTTGTTATGCAAAAATAACGACTATTTAGCATCGAAGGAAATTCAAAGCTGAATTTATTAAAAGGAAAGGAATTGTGTTCGGTGTAAATTTTTTTTCATTATAATATTTCTGCGGATTAAAAGATTTTTTTGAACAAAGCTTTGTGCAGCTTATACTATGTAAATCGCCATCTCGATGTACTTTATAAAATTTTTAAAATATGCTTTTATAAAAATTTTTTTTTATATTTCAATTTTTTTATTTTAATCATGCAGGAATTTATTTCCAAAAACGAATTTATTCCCATAAAGAGATCGAAAATAGAAATCGAATCTTTGATGCTTAACAGTCAATGACCATCCTGCTTTTATTTTATGAACCTCTTTTCTGAAGAGCGCTTGCCATTTGGTCACGCTCGATCAAGCCAGATTTTGTTACGAAGTCATTTAGCAATAGAAATACGGACGAATCGCCAGAATCATCTCGATTTTTATAGTTTTGGAAATCTTCACTTCTGCCAGGAGTGGTGCCTCAGAATCGGTAGTCCGAAATGAGGGCAACAAATCGAAGTTCGAATCTACGCGCCACTCCTCATCGCTGGCAGTGCCGCCTAATGGAGAAAAACGGAGGAGTGTAGAATGGCTCAGTGGGTTCTTGCTCAATTCGAAACTCATTACTTTTGGTTTCATTAACTTTATTAACTTTATGGCTGTTAATACGATTAGGAATTTTCGTCAAGGGTGGTTAATTGGCGAAAATACTGATAAAATACTAATTGATTGCGACGAGCACGAAAATTTTTCATTGGCAAATTTACCCTTGCCAGTATTAGGTAGTTGTAGATGCTCATGCATATCGAAACAGTCAAACTACTCGACCATTTCTCTTCACCATATTACTTTTCGATAAATTAAACCATAAATTTATCTTTCAATTTTTAAACTCAGCTAGTTGCTGAAGATTTAAAAAAAGGTGGTTGCTGATTTTTTTTTTTTAAGAGTCCTCACCATTACTGGGTAAACTCGCTCCACTGGCTTGTCACATTGAGCAATATGCCATGGAGTCCTTTGGCGCTAGAAATACAGGTGAGTCGCCAGCATCTCTCGGATTTTTGGACGGTTTATTCCTGTAAGGAATCGAACCTCAGCTTCAGCGCTCCCAATCGAGCAATAACCTACTGAGCTATTCTATCCCAAATGATATTTGTAAACAATAATTTATTTTATTTTTGATTTTTTCTTTAAATTGTATTTTATAATTGATGCTATATAATTAAATTGCTATAAAATTGTTTTCTTTAAGTTGTAGTTGTAGTTTATAATTAGCGCTATCTAACGCAATGATAAAATTAGAATTAAATTTTTTTATATTTTATGAACGAATTTCTAAAATTTCTAATAATTATTTATTAACATCTAAAGAAAGAAAGAAAAAAATTAATGTCAAAAAAGATTAATTATTAATTAAGATTAATTAAAAGAAAGATTATTTAAATTTTATATCAAGAATTAATCATCTTCGGCATGAGAGAGGCCAAAAATAATTCTCAACAAACTTCATTTTTTCACTTTAATGATTAAAATGATTAATGATTAAAATGAGAGCGAAAAAGAACGAAAATTATTTGTATTAATGCTGAAAATTATCAAATTTTGATTAATTTATATTGCATTAGATCGCAATTAAGAGTATTGCACTACCGAATTTCGAATATTCGTTCCTTTTTCTTCAAGTGACTCTTTGGCAAAAGCATCATTTAAACGGAATCTAATCATCAGTAAAACCGGCCAAAAATCAAATGAAAATTGAAGGAAATTATGTAAGATTCATCTGATATGCTCTATAATATTAGCTTTTTACATAATTCTACCATTTTTTCTAAAATTATCATTTTTTATCACTAAAGATTATTGGGATTTTTCTAAATTTCAGTAGATAAAAGATCGATTATTTCGAAAAATGATTAAACCACAATTTTTGCAGGAAGTTTGATTGCTTATTTACAAAATATAACTTAAATATTTCATATAGTTTTTTACCCGTAATCCACCCTTTAAGATAAAAAAGATTATGCATCCTGGTCGAAGCATTAATCAAAAATGAAATTTTGTTGGCAAATCAAGCAGTTAATCCGGTGTTTTATTATAAATGAAATTATCTGGAGTATTGCGTTGGTTTTTTCAAAGAAAAAACCTTTAAGAAATACAAGACAAAATTCAAACAATGATTAAGTTCCACAAAGCTGCGCCACTATGGAATTTTTTCCAGCATTTCCGTCAAAAATGATGTTGAAAGTTTAAAATTCGACACATTGAAATTGTTTAATCGCATCATGGATCAAAATCTAGCAGAAAGCTACAATCTTCGATCGCCAAGTTACTTCCTAGCAAAATTTCTCGGGTCCAACAAGCTAAATGACTTAAAAAGCGGGATAGCCGAACCAGAAATGGTGAGCGCATTTCGGAATAATTTATCGACTCTTAATGTAACATGCTGTCGGTGATGGTTTGTTCGGCTAATTCCATTCAATACTGAGGTAAAATCTTTTCACCATAAAGTTGCTTGGCGACAGAGATACAAGTAAGCCTCCAGCAATCACT